CATGCCAGGGGCTTTCTGATTAAAAAAGAACTGCCAGTTGTTTGAAGAACGTGGTCATTTCTTCAGTCAATCTAGTCTCCCTTGACAGAGAGGGAGCCAGACACCTCTCCCATGGGAGTGAGTTTCTGAGCCACAGAGCAGACACTTCAATCACATCCCCTCAAAACTGATTATGATGACTGCAGAAAAGCGGGAAAGACCTCCCACAAAAAAAAATGTCCAAGCAGATTCATATAGGAAAGTGCAGCCTTTCAGACATCCTAGTTCCAAGTCATATAGAGTTTTAGGGATCATAATCAGCCATCTAGAAATACCAAAATCACAGAGACATTTCCCCGACTCTTCTCTTCACCTCCAAGTCTGGTGAAGACTGAATTTCAAACATTTGAGTTATACACCCTCAAAGTGTATAACTGGGAAAGTGCCCTTTAGCAGCTGGTTTGGGGAAAATTCCAGCAGTGGTTCATGCCAGGGAACCTAACACAGGGTATTGCTCATCAGGAGGTGGACTGGGGAGTGAAAATACCTTTCTCCAAACTCCGTGTACAATGGAGGTTAGAGACTGTTGTGTGGTCAGCCAGGCGTAGGGATGGAGAAGGTGGAACCAAATATACTATGCTCCTTGGCCACTTCAGACACAGCCAATATCACCTGGAGGAAAAGTATTTTCTAACTTCAATTATTGCAAGTATGCCCTATGTGTGAAAGCCAAACCATGTTTCCTCAACAGAGAACTGTGTTAATGTTTTATCAGAAATCCCCCTCACATACCAGAACCCATGCCTTTTATTGTCTAATTTTTGATTAAACTCACCAAAAAAGGCTTATCATCCTACTGCACCTTAGAAGACACAGCGGAAGGAACTTTGTAATCTAGACCATATTTTGCGGGTGAATTTTGAAAGCCAAGTGCTTATTTATAGATAGGATATTGCTTTCATCTCTTGTTCTGTCTTTTACAATCTAGCTTGCTTGTTTTGTAATATATAGCAATAATATAGCATGTTTACTCTGGACTACTGAGTTCATTGAGGCTTAATCCTAGGATAAGGCGGTAACTGTTTTACTAGAATTAAAATACAGTAAAAAGTGACTGAGGAATGGTCATGTGTGTTTCTTGTAATAAAAATGACAGAGAATAGTGTGGTACCTTGAAGACTAGCACATTTTACATGGCATACACTTTTGTGGATGACGGCCTGCATCAAATGAAGTGGGCTGCACAGTCTGCAAAAGCTTGTGTTACATAAAATTAGTTAGTATTTATGGTGGAACAGAACTCTTTTGTCAGAATAAATGGTGAGGACTTTTTTATTATTCAAACAACTTAGTGGATGTTCAGCTGCAGTTGTGATCGCAGAAATAACACCCAAAAAGTACATCACTAAACACAGAAGTATTAGTCCAACATATCACTGGGGAAAGAACTCTTCTAAAATTGTCATATGAATATCCTACGATGGCACTCCGATAATATATATTCTGTAAATACTGATATTTGTAAATAGCTCACAGATACAGTACAATCCTTCAAATAGCCTGGATCCAAGCCATATAGAGCTTTATAGTAACAACCAGCACTTTGAATTGAGTCTGGAAATAGACTGGCAGCCAATGAAGCTATTGTAATAAGGAAATTGCATTCTCCCTGTAACCAGCATAGCAGTTTGAATCAATGGAAGTTTCTGAACACTCTTCAAAGGCTGCTCCCCATAGTGTATGTTGTAGTAGTCCAGATGAGATGCAACTAAGGCATGTGCCACTGTGGGCAGACCAGTCATCTCAAGGAAGGGACACAGCTGATGCACTAGCTTTAACTGTGCAAAGACATTCTTGGCTGCTACTATCTAAGCTCAGGACTGAGTTTCAGAGCTCACTCAAACTACAAGCCTGACTTTTCAGGGGGAGTATAACCTCATCCAGGACAGGCTGACTCTCTATCCCCTGATTTGCCTTATGACTCACCAGGTGCATGTGTTTCTTGTTTGGATTGTAAGTTTAAATTTGTTAGCAATCGTGGTCCATTATTGGCTTTGGTCTATGCACCAAACAGCTTCCCTGAAATTAGATGGGAAGGAGATATAGAGTTGGTTGTCTTCAGGCTATTTGATTTGTGATATGTATATTTTTGAAAAGAGATGTCTTATTCTTTTCTTGCAATTTGATGAAGGCAAGAACAGGATTTTTGCTGATTTTCCATGATAGTCTTTTGCAAGTAATGCATCCTGCTCCCTTTGATTTTTTTATTTATTCACTTATTTATCGCTGAGACTCCATATGACATGATAAACGATAATAGCCATATTACGGCTCCATAAAATAACTTTTTTCTAAAAGCTGAATAACAACAGCATTTAAAAAGAATATTGAAACAGATGTTGCACATTTAATCTTTAGGCCAGCATTAAATGTATTTACAGTATTTACATATGTGGAATTCTATCTGCAAAAACTGTGAAAGAGATTTGACAACATGTAGACTGAATGCCTAGTCACACGTAACCTATACCTCATAAGATCCAGTTAGCCTCCTGCAGACAATAAATATTGAGCAGGATACTGGCCATATGGTTTAATGAAAATCAATAATTTAATGCTACTGATTTACATATAAACCGAGGTTTCTAGTACAATGTGACTTGATCTTCAAACTTCTGAACATGACAAAAGCATGCATATATGAGCGTCAAATGCAGTCATGCCATACAGAAATCAAAGAGGGATCTGAAACAGTGTGTGCCTTCAGAACTTCAGTGATGTTCTTTATTTGTATGTATCCTCTGGTATTTTAGATGCTCACAGTATATGTGTGGCATTGACCAAATACTTGTTTTAGGGGCCCCAGTGAGACTTAGTGTCACTTCTCTCAGTCAATAATGTTTTTGTAACCCAGTTTTGATACGGTACAAAGATGTGTGTGGTACAACAAAGGGTTAGCCTCCCAGTAGGACAAGCCAGGCCCTGCCCCGTACCATAAAGTTTCCAATCTAAAATTTGACAAGCAGGAACTAAGGGAAGAAGATGCAGCACAGGGCATAGGGAGGAGAAAATGAAGTACAGTAGAATGAAGCAGTTGTGCAAAAGGCAGGGATATTTAGTAGCAGAACTTTGCAGTTTTCCTGGAGCCCATCAAAACTGTTGTCATCCATTATCATTTATTTATTTATTTATTTGTTTGTTTGTTGGTTGGTTTGTTGGTTTGTTTAATTTATATCCCGCCTATCTGAATCACATAGGACCACTCTAGGCGGCTTACATCAACAATTTACAATAAAATTAAAACAATTTTAAAATAAGGGAAAAGCATCTTTTGATCTGTGTTGCTGGTAAATAACCACAGGTAGCCCTCAGGTAAGTGCATCAGGAATAAAGTCTTCCAGGCAAGAAGGCTTTATCTCTTCAAGGTAAGAGTATTCCAGCGTTTCTCATTTAAAACTGGGCAGACAGATTCACGCTTAGTTGCTCCATCGCCTGGACTAAGTTTACTCAGCGGCTTTCAGCAAGATTGACTCTCCAGCAAGGTCTCATAGCCTTGCAGTTCAATTTTCCCTTTTTATTCAGAACTGTGGTCCCCGTTCCACTCAACGGAACTTTCTTCCAACGCCAAAAGCACGCCGAAGGTGGTGGTGGGTCTTGCCCATTCCAGGTACTGTAAATCTCCATGCGATCGATCGCATGGTGTGATCGAAGAAAAGCCGGAGGGCGGCTATGTTGAATGAGAAAGAGGGATAGAGAAGGGCAGCGAATCTTAAATACTTTGAAAAATATTGGAAGGGTTAAAATTAAAAAAAAAGCCAGTGGTGCACTAAATAGGGCGCTGGACTCAAGAGGATACGGGTTCAAATTCCGCTCAGCTAAGGAAACTCCCGGGGAGAGGAGTAATGGTAAGATCGTTCTTTGACAAATCAGAGGGGATTTGAGAGCACATAAAAACAGCAAAGTGGGTAAACCGGATTAGGTGTCAGGAAACTGGCAGCTACAGTACACAGTACAGTAGAGGAAACACTGCCCTGCCCCTACCCGTGCCCCTGCTCGCCCGCCCGCTCCCCAGCCACGCCGCTGCGCCTGCTGATCATTCGTCTCCGATTGGCCGGTCTATCTTCCCTTTTCCGCAATCGAAGTCTCTGTCATTGGGCGGCTGTCAGAACGCTGGCGCCGTCATCGCGGCGCTTGAGGGGCCGCCCGGTCGTCGGCCAACGAGACGGCGGCGTAATGTATCAATCTCAGGCCCGGCGGCCAATGAGGCCGCGCTTCTCCTCCGAAGCCGAATGTTGATGTGGCGGCTCCGACCAATGGGAGCGGCGCTGCCCTGCTCGTGCGGCTTTCGCGGCAAAAAGGATTTGGCGCGCAAACGTGTGCGAGGCCGGGACCAGCTGGGAACAATAACAGTGCCTGAGCAGAGGGAAGCGGGAGCAGCTCGAAGGGGGGCTCTCGGCTGGAACGCGCCGGCGGAAAAGGCTCGGAGGGCCGGCGAAGAAGCCGGAATCCGTCTCCAGGGGATGGGGAAGGATCTGGAACGGAGCGGAGCAGGGCTGGGCAGCGACCAAGGGCGGCAGTGACCTGCACACAGCGTGGGCGGAAGAGAGCCTTGCTGGGTGTAAACCCACCCACCCCCAACGCCGCCTCCCCTCGTCCCAAGCGGCGATCGGGGCCCTTCGCAGATGACCTGGAAAGAAGCGGCCCCGATGTCCTGCCTTTTCGGCTCGGTGGCCTCTTTTCCACTCGGGGCCTTGACTCGCTGCACCTCCTCGGAGCTGCACCATTTCCCAGGCCTCCGCTCGTAAAGAGGATGGGGCGTGTTTCTGGCTACCAGCCCTTGCCATCCGGTGTCTCCCTGCAGCCCAGCGTCCAGGACGAGG